TAACAGTTGTATTGATGTATAGCAACTTGAAATGCTCCCACAATTGGCACTGTAAAAAAATATATATATATAAGCTCTGGCGGACTTGGTTCTATGGTAGGTCTTAAAGGGTTAAATAAATATCGTCAAATAATCAAGATCTCAATTTCAGTGAAAATAATCGTGATTATCATTTTTGCCATAATCAAGCAGCCCTTTTTTAAACAGTACATTTACATAATGACTGAAGCTTCAGTCATTATGTAAATGTGAAAATGCTACATCCAGATGAACAGAATCAACTTTTTGCGAATCTTCTTGCCTGGAAGGCTGAGCATGTGTGAAGACTTTTTGGTGAATATGCTATAAGATCAGGTCAGCAATATGAGAATTCTTTGGCAGGATTGTTGAATGATTTTCTTACCAGGTCTATGATTTCTTCCTCATAGTACTTTTTGCTGACTTAATCTTATGAGTTTTGTCTGTGCCATAGCTAAATATTCTATTTCAAGTAGAGTTGGTTTCATTGGTGACATGAAGTCCTTCATGAGATGTGTGAGAGAGAAATTCTATTTCTCCAGACTATTCCCATATTGAACAACTGTAAAACCATCCAAATACCATTTTCAGTGTCCGTCATTCACAATAATAAATTTGTTGATTGGATCAACATTTTCTTCTGTGCTGCTTGTGTTGAGTGCAACACATTTTACTGCATTTCTTCATTTCAGAGTCACATTCAAACAGGATTTTGAATTGCTCTTTGTCTGGGCTTGCACCCAGCATCTATTTGCCATGTGAGACCCTACCATGGGGCAAAACGCCCCCCAACAATATAGGCCCTGGGATCCCTGGAACACATAAACCTCTCCACCATGATAAGGTAGCAATTCACAGATTTTACATCCCTATTTCTTTTTTATATCTGTCTCATTTAGAACTAGTATGGAGGGGATCAGTGACCGTCTGTTCAGGCATAAGAACTTCAACTTTGTGGCCAGTCTTACAACTCCAGAGTACCTAGACTCCCTTGAAAGCTTTGAAATAAAAGACAGCGATGTCTTCCTTGTGACCTATCCAAAGTCAGGTTGGTGAAAAATTTCACACATTGTTGGTATTTGCTGTTTTGTGCTGGCCAGACTGATCTCTAATGTCTTTCCCCACATCAGGTACTGTATGGGCTCAGCAGATCATGATTTCCATCCACGAAATGCATAGCTATCAGACTAAATATTCAATCAACGTTGAGAGGATGCCGTGGCTGGAGTACAAGACAGCTGAATACGCTCTTCTTCCCTCTCCACGGCTCTTCGCCTCGCATCTCCCTGTACACATCATGCCTCCAGGAGTGAAGGAGAAGAAGCCAAAAGTCAGTACTTTATAGAAGTTGAAATCTTATTGAAGAAAGAGACAGTCTTGAAGTTTGAGAAAGTTAAAAGCATTTGATTACTTATTGTTGCAAAAATAAAGCAAATTAAATTTGTACTTGTGAAGATTAATTTAATTTTTTGTGATGTTACCTATTGGTCACTGAAGTTCAGTTTTTGAGGCTTGCACTTTGACTACTGGTAGCTTTTAGAAACCAGGAAATCCTAGCAAATGAAAATAGAGTGGTTGATCTTCAAAACAAATGTTGTTTTATGTTCGGTAAGAATTAAAACAATGATCCTCTGGGGTCATAAATCAAGGAATATGAGGGTCATTTTTATCATACACTTCTACACAAACACATGGTCCCAGGTCCAAAAAGCTAGCACTAGCATTTGTTTTATTTTTAATGATTCTGTTTGATTTCAGATAGAGGAGATAGATAGAGGAAGAGAATCTAGCTGTCATGGTTCTGGGTCGGTGACCCAGCGCTTTGAGTTTATTATTATTATTTTCTAGTTTATTCTGATTTTGTATTAGTTCTTTGGGTTTGGTTGTCATGTTTATTATCCCAACCTGTGTCTCCCTCTGTGCTCTGCTCGGGTCCCCAAGTTTTGTGTTGTAAAGCAGTCTGTGTGTTTCCTGTTTTACTTTGTACGTCTGTGTCTCATTATGCCCATTAGTTCCAGCTGTGTCCCCTCCTGTGTGCCATTTCCTGATTACCTGTTGTGTGTATTTATAGTATGTGTCTGCCTGTGCTCCTCGTCGCGTCCTCTGTGTTTCTCTGTGAAGCTTCTGCGTTACTCTGCATTATTTTGGTGTTTTTTCCGTGTCTCTCTTCCCCTCGCCTCATGTCCTCCCTTTGTGTTAGTTTTCCCAGTTTAGGTTTATGTTCTGTTCTGCCCTCACCTTGGTTTTCTCTCTGTAAATAAATCTCCACTTGCATCTCCACTTCCATCTGCATCTTGGGTCCTCATTCATTCCACCACACAACTGCTGCCCCAGCCGTGACACTAGCATCCCAAGTGCCAACTTGCTTGAGCAACGTAGCGGACCGTATGTTGGGTGGCAAGAAAACTGCTAGAAGATTGTCAGCATTCGGCTTCACGGAAGCTCAAAAACAGACTTTAAAATAAATTTTTAAAAATATTATCTGAAATCAAATTGTAACATTAGATTTTAAATTGCTTTTCTTTTAAACTAATGACATTAAATAGTGAATTATTACATTTTTAAAAAAATGTTTATTAAGATTTAAGATTTCAATTTAGGGTTTTTTTGTGAATTATTACATTTAAGTGACAGACTTTTAATATTCAAATTTTTTTTAAAATATATTTCAGATCGTGTATTTGATGAGGAATCCAAAGGACAACATGGTGTCTTTTTATCACTTCAGCAGTGCTCTAGCAGACCTGGAGACTCCCGAGAGTTTTGACCAGTTTTTTGAGTGGTACATAACAGGAAAAGGTAAGTTTCCTCATCTTTAATCCCCATAATGATATATCAATTACTGATTACTATAAAGTAATATTTTAATTTATATAT